ATATGACAGGTTATGAAGATACTTCTTCTTCTTGGCAGTTGCTTATGATTGTTTTTCTCTGTGGCTAAGTCTGTGATCTCTGGATATTGTCTAGGCAAACCAGCCAGATCAGGACCTTCAGATACACATGAAGGATTTGACTGTTTTCGGAATTTGAAATTAACTTAGCTCTGTTGTGAGATACAGTGGTTTCTCTGGCCATGTACAGTCTCGAACTTCAGATGACTCTTTAATTTTTCTCCTGGAAAGTAGGCACTTGAGTATCAGATTTGTACGTGGTTAGGAGAAGGTTTTATGGATCATGCTTTTGAATCCCAAATTTTGTTCTGGTTCCATTTTACGTGCATTTTGGATATCTCCCAACATGACTTGATCTATAACACAGGAGTCTGTACCCAAAACCACTTTCTGGCCTTTTCAGCCATGAAAATGAATCATCAGTTAGTCCACTTGGAGAAAGTTAAGTTTTGCTGAGAAAACAGGAAAAGTATAGGAAGTACCAGACAATTGTGAAAATTTTACCTAACGACTAAACTGAGTAAGAATATTCCTAGCACAACATCTCATAGCAAGTGAGAGAATTTTTTTAGGAGGTACTGAGAAACACTTGCCTAGTAACAACATTCTAGAAAGTTATGTTCTTCTACCATTATAGACACTATAGCTAACACATATTTCCTATGAAGAATAACTGTATGCAGTCCTGGTACGCATCCGTAAACGTTATGTGAATGTGATCAAATTAAGAAATGGATAATACAAAACTACATTATTAACAAGGTGGGTTTGTATATAAATGTCATTTATACACAGATAATATACATTGTGTATTTACAAAAGAGTTCTTTATGGACTTGAAATAATGATCAATGGCAGAACTCATTAAAATTCCCTATATAATAATGGGTAGTTTTATTGATGAGCATGAAATTGTCTTCGCTGGCTTCACTGTGTGCTATGGCCATCTTCACGAGGCACTAGAGGCCGTAATTCTCATCACTTAGTATGTCTTCAAACTGCTTAGATCCATTTGTAGGGGTATTCATGGGCGTTGCATCTTCTACAGTGGAAAGACTTTGAAAAGATCCTTTATGATAAAAGGACATCGTCCACTATTAGGCGTGCATGTACAGTAACAGGTCATTAAAGAATCAACAAATGGAAGTAGCACAAAGACTGCTGGGTGCTGAAGGCTGAAGCGATTACTTTAATAGTATAGCGTTTACCCAGTCTTTTCTGTTTAAGTCTCTCTGTCTGGCAGCTGTCATTTTATTTTTGTTGCTTAAGGTCACCTTAAGCAATGACTATAATTTTGGTTAAAATATCAAACAAATCCAATTGATCTACCTGAGTTGCAGTTATTTTATTGTCTTCTGCTTTCTGAATAATCTGATTCTGTGTAACAATGAAAATGTGTAGAATGTAATCAAATGAAGAAATCTATCCAAACGTTATCTCCGAGTAATGCATATTTAAATTGAAAAAAGCATTTCCAGTTACCTGCCTAACCATGAATCTGAGGTCATCCTTTGTTCCCTTACTTTCAACAAAGAGGATAGTAAGAACCCAATGCATTTCTCATTAAAATGAACAATAGAGGAGAAAAAGGGTTTTAAATATGCACGCCAGCGTGTAAGACTAACTTTTTCAATGTTAGGGATTTTTTTTCTACTTTGAGAGATAGTGTAGCTTTGCATCCGTTCAAATGTAGCTGTATACAATCAGAGGAAAACGTTTAAACATCCCAGCATGGGTATTTCCATTTAAATCTGATTACAGTGAAATAAAACTGTAGCTATTAAAGGTTTAGAAGAACTACAAATACAAGCAGTAAAAGAAGACAGTTAGTAAATGAGGTAGTAAAACATTTCAGCAGGGCAAACAGTTTATAGCACTCAGCCTTCCTGTAGCAGACTGAGCTATTCACTACAGACCCGCGCACTGTTCCCTGAACTGCACTTAAACCTGCAATTAACCTTTCACGCCTAATGAAGCTGTTTTGCTGCAAAATTAAAATATATAGTACTGCCTGTTTTTACAGAGACTGGGAGGAGAGCATCTCAAAATGAATGACTTTTTCAGATGCTTTTGTTCAAATGCAGAATTAAAGTGCTGTTTGTGTATAAATCGGGAAAGCGCTTTTCAAGGCAATCTCATTTGATGCGCTGTATTTTATTCTTGTACTTATTAATTGTTTTGCATAATTGTTAAAAAAAAAATGACAAAAAATTCACACACCAGTAATTTTATGATTAGACACTTACTTCCTGAGAATAAACTATTACCATTTAACTTCCATTAGGAAAGACAATAGTTTTGCTAAAGATAACCAAGTTCATATTGCATTCTCTGGTATTTTTCTCATTGTGGATGCAATTATCTCTTACAAAAATATACTTTCCACTTACGTATTTGACTGGGTTCACTTCTTAATGATCTTTCCATACATATCCTTAAAACAAGCTAGAGATTGTTTTAGCTGCATAGAACTAGGTCAAGTTATTTCTATAACATTTAGTAGAAAAACAAATTAAACTTAAAAATAGGTCCGGTTCTGCACTAGGCTTGAATTTCCAGAAATACGACTATTAAAGGTGACCCATTGATTCTCCGCGTGAGACCCTTAGTGATTCCTCTGTTCCTTTCTGCCACCTTACTCAAGCCACCAGAGACCATACTCTGTTTTGGCAAACACCGGTTCGGATGGTAGGTAGGATATTTTAACTGGCAGCATTGAGGGAAGATGAGTAAATGAAATAACTTATAGACTGAAGTAACAGATATAGGACACGATACGATTTACAGTTCCAACTTTAACACCTATAGATATATTCATATTTGTTGTTTAGATCCAAAACCTGTAAAACAAAGGGATTGTTTTGTTGGAGGGGGGTTAATGAATATTTAAGCCACAGCATTTTTATCAAATCTGCTGTTGTATTTTGATGTAAATTCTGCTTGCTTGCAGTGTCTGTGCATCAGCTTGACTTGGTAAATGAAATTCCTTTAGACCGCCAGTCTGAAATAATGAATTGTTCCCCCAGTTAATTGTATTGCTTTGATAACAAGGAACTATGCTGGGCGTAGAGAACATAATAAGTGAATTTCATCAGGTGATTTGTGTGACATTTTGAAAAATGATCTTCTAGAGTGACCTGATTTAATGGAAGCCTAACAGCATGCCAGTATATCCCAGTATGCAGCATTAAATTTGAAGGAAATTGTTCTTCCCTTTTGTTAATTGTTATGTAAAGTGAGGTTAGCGTCATACATCCAAGTATATTTCAAAATAGCTTATAAAAAATGGAAAGCCTGTTTTTCTATGTAATATTCTTTCCATTTAGCATACTCCCTAAGCCTTGCTGCTAAAGACAGGATCACATGTAAGCAACTATCAAAATGTTATTTAGGTTTTATCCTTGAATTTGCTAATACCGGATACTGCTGGTACTTTAAAGGTGCCTCAAAGATTTTAAAAATTCAATTTATCAAAGTCCAATTTAAGGCATCGCTAGCTCATGCTAGGAAATATATGTGTATGTGAGAAAAACGACTTAATTAATCTTGGCTCTTACATATCCTGAAATGCAGCAATGATAATTGTACTTAGCATTTTACAGTATACTGCCTTGTATTTTCAGAAAGCTGTATGCACATTAATTGATTCTTGCAACATTTTTGTGAATTAAGAAAGGTAGCATTACAGTGTGAAATAGCACAGATTTTTTCAGGATACTGGAAACCAAATCTGACAGTATATCATATACTAAAAAAGAAGCCTGTAGAAACACTTGTGAAAAATATTTTTTGCACGGTTTCTTTGTAGGTAAGTGTTATAATGAGGGAATGCGTGAAAAATATTGCCAAAATTGGATTCTGTAATAAATAAACTGATATTGGCCTGAGTTAAAAAATAGGTCTGCCTGTTAAACGCGGTGAAAAGTATTTTCAAAGGTGTCCACATGGCGTAGTACTGTTATTGGTTAGAGACTGAGATGTATTGGGCAATATGGAGAACCAGCACCATCTTTGCCCACATTATGGGTATAACTAGATGTGTTTTTGCAGATGTAATTGTCAATTGTGGTTTATGGCAGCCGTAGTGGAGTAGCACATATGAGTGATGTGGGTACTCCTAATCCATTTCATTGCAATATTGACTGTGTGAATTTAAAAATTCAGAACTACCATGTATTAAGTGTGCTGTCAATGACAGCATTTCAGCAAAAGTCAGCAAAAGTACGCAGTAACAAGTAAATGGAAGAGTAAATTCTTGAACTACTAATTTTCGAAGAATGCTTGTCCATGCCCTCTGTAATACTCTATTAAGATTATAACAGGTCATGAAATATCAGAAGCTTAACCAGAATTTGAAAAGGAAGAGTTTTGGTGAATTGAAAACATTAAGAATTTATCCAGGCCAACACTGTCATGGCTCACTGTCTGTTTACAAATCCATGCATTCTGGAAAGATATTTTCCTATCTTTCTGTTCATGGTAAATATTAACCTCTGAATATTTCCAAATTAGGAAGGCATGTATATTGCAAAGGGGAATATTCAAGGGTACATTGTTGTCTCAACTGTGGTCTCCATTTCTCTCTTATTTTCCGATTTGATAGTTTCATCCATTTCTAAATGCAATGCACAAACATTTAATAAGAGAAAATCCATGTCAGAGAGCTGCTGGTCCACCTAACCAAGAAAATGAAGAGATGTGATGCTAAGATCACACAACAAATCAATAAAAGACTTAAATGGAACTCAGTTCTCCTGATTTCCAGTCTAGTATCTTAACTGCACTTTTTTTATTCGTCCACTTCTTCACTGTTACTAGGTAGCATTTTAGAAAGTGAGAACTTGTTATCTAACTCTGAAATGAAGCTGATCACTTCTGGGAAAGTACAAAAACTTGGCATGAAAGGAACCATCACACTGCTCTGGAGCTCTTCTCAGGAAAGCTGGGCATTAAATTTTGTTTTTCCTTTATTTGTCTTACAGGTCTTGCAATTGCGAGTGCACTGATAGACATTTCACAACAGAAGCCTGCGGACTGTAAAGATAAGAGTTCAGGAGTCAGAAATCGAAAACATCATCTTTCAACACGTCAAGGAACTTGTGTCTGAGATTCAAAACCTACTATTGTATATTCTGTAATGTTTTCTTTTTAAATGGCTTCCATTGAAAGCTATACTACAGCCTCAGGTTTTATGGAGGCAAATCTATGAATGAACATATGAGGTACTGTGCTCTGTTGTAGTCCCACAGCCTGCTATACCCCAAAGCAGAACAAACGTCTGGTAGGTATGAGTATGTTTGATGAGCTTTAATAAAAAGAGTGGATTCTGATTTCAACAAAATATGAAATAAAATACCTAGTATTCTTGATCCTGAGCATATCAGAGCAGGGAAAATCCTTGAACAGAACTAGGAAAAACTGTACATTGTTTTGTAATGTAGAAGGAAATTGTATAATTGAAAACTAAGCAAATTCCAGGAAACTAAAGGACATTTTTGTACAGGTTAATGTAACAATGAGAATTGTACACTTCTTTCCTTGTAATGAGCATTAAAATTCCTTTCCAGCAAGCAGGAACTAAAGAGGATCCTTTGGATTTAGGTGTTCTTTTATCATTGCCTGAAACAGGTAGGCAGCTTGTGAATTTCGCGTAGGTATAACCTGAGAACACCACATGTAATATTTGAAAGATAATTCCATCAAGAAACTTGATTTGAGCATATCATGATTACTTTTCTTTACCTTGCAAAAGCCTCAGAAACATAATCTGGGCTGCAGCAAAGTGATGGGTGGGCTTTCATGTTTCTGTACCTAAGAGTCTGTTCTGAATTCCGAATGATATATCTTACAAAGAGCGCATGTGGGTCCTCCATGCCAGCTAACTGATTAGCAAAATTAATTGAGCATGGAAAAGCTTCTTCTGCAACAATGTTTGCTGTTTTTTCCAAAAGAGTCTCCAAGTTTGCAAGTCTAAGGAGAATTTAACTTGCTGTTATTCTGCCTGCTCCCATTTCAATATTGAAATTTGCTATTTCTATATATTGTCCTAACCTCCAAGCAGAAGAAATTAATCCCAGTCAGCACTTTCACCCTGTTTTTTTTAATAAGGCATGAATGGATTTTGTTCTCCCAGCTGCAGAATTTCATCTCATCCTCACGTTCACACCAGTTAGGGAATTACCCTGCATAACAAAAATTAAATAAATAAATATTTAGAAATCCAAGTTGCTTCCAACAGTGGTTCTCAAATCCAACATCCAGTATGGAACCTCACACAATCAGTACTCAGAAACAAAAAGCAGATGAAAGAGTTTCCTTTCTATAGGACATTAGTCTTTTGGGGGCTTGATCACCACAACAGATAAGATAACAAACAGCTTTAATGGCCCTCAGTCTTTTTATTTACTCAAAATTCATGAATATACAAAAGAGTAAGAAAATGCTAAGGGGTAGGTAGCAGATGTGTCATGTTCTCATTTACACATTACATGTTGACAGCAGTATAATATGAAACTAGTAGTTTTGTACAAGCTTGTTGAAAGTATAGTTTCTCAACTTCAAATTTGCCACCATACTAGTACAGGAGAGTGATACAGAGGTATAAATGCCTCATGTAACAATAGACTTTTGGTAAATATGAAAGATATAAAAAGATAATTGATGTTTACTACTATATCTGTATTTTTCATGTTCTTTTTATTTCAGGAAGATGATGACATTTTACTGTTTATAGTTGACTACATAGTTACTTGCATGCCATGGTGGTGCAGTAGCAGTAATAAAGCCCTGTTGTGAGTTGTGTTTATTTCGTAATGCCATTCATACATAGAAGTACTCAGCTTAATTTGGATGAGGACTAAATGTAAAAATAACTATAAAAAGGAACGATTGTACAGTATGTAGTTATATCTTATACAGGAATATTAGGTTGCGTCTAACCATGACTGCTCTATTGTTTTGATACATTATGCACTTATGAATTATGGTATAATTATTTCTTATGCTGGCATGATTGTTTCAGTATTTTCATATCCTAAAATAAGATTATTATCCTAAAATAATGCCATCACAATCTCATGCGTTTTATTGCATATTCTGACCTCAGCTTCTTATATCTTAAAACTTAAAAAAATTCCTTTTTAAAGCTTCTGTTGGGAACTTCCAATCAGTGCTACTTAGCATAGTGAAAAAAATGGTCGTTTGAAAACAACCCTTTCTGTCGGTTTTAAAGTCAATCTGTTCAAATGAATATAAACCAATGGAACTGGTTTATATGATGCATACACTTATGAAAAGGAAAGAACCACTTGTCTGGAATATATTCCAAACTCTGTATTACCCTGAACCTAAACATTTCACATAAGAAATATACAGTGTGTGTTTCGTGAATGTACTAGAAACCCAGTACACAGAAAGACCGTGTAGTCCTGTAGAGCAGTTTTGACTGTACTCGCTCATAAAGGATTACATTCCTCCATATCTAAACCGGAGTTTGACCATTGCTTGAAGAGCAGGTATGAGTTTTAAAGGGATTAAAATATTTTATTGCAACACTGAAAATGGGCAAATAGCTATCAGCCATTTTATTGTGTTAACAGCTTAAAATGTTATTTTAATTGTGCAAGAAAAGCATGTCAGTCATGCGATCATTCAGCATTTTCATTCACTCTGAGAATGGTTTTTCATAAAGTATCTTTCTTCTCCCAGGGTCCCTGATTGCATGCAAATTAGTAAAGACATATAATAATAACAATAAAAAAAAAATCTATATAACGGCCACACATAAATACTTTGCCAACAAATCTCAAACCAGAGTTGCAGAGTAACTGTTACAGCTTTCTATTTTAAAGGTATAACAACAGCATAGTATGTCTGATAACTACATTTTGTTAGTTGTCAGCAAGTGCAAACTTTTTAATAGTGACCACTTTACATCAGATGAAATGTTTTATCAACTGTCACATTATGATTGCTTCATGAAAAAGACAGTTTTTTTAAAACTCTGTTCTGCGGTTTAACTTTTGAACTCTTTCTTAGAGTCAGAAAATGTTGAATGGCCTGTATTACCCCTAATGTGATTTATGTTGGATGAAAAATAAACGACTAAGCACTGTTCTGGAAAGTAAGCCCCAGTGAAGTTCTGATTGTCAGGATTCCACCTCCTCTCCCTCAATCCGTAGATTCTGCTGAGGGAAATTCAGCAGCTCCAAATTACTGTTGAAAATATGAGATAGCCTGTGCATTGTAGCATGGGTTGAGCAGTCCTTCAATTCCTCTCCGTACTTGAATATTTATGTAAAGTCCTGAAAATACTTGAATCAAATTTGTGCACATATTATTAACGCTTTAGAATACTTGCTTCCATTCACTGCGTTCCTATGAAATGTAATGAAATGCTAGTTTACCTATATGAAAAATTGGTTATCTCTATGTTGCCACTACTAAAATTATATCTAAAAAAAAAGGCCAAATTCTAGATAGGTTAAGGCATGAAGATACCATTAATTAGGAACATTCAGATTCATCTGATTTGAAAATTTTCATAGCTGACTGCTCTCTTTATAGTTAGAGTCCCCTCCCATCTTCCCAAACCAAAAGCATTTGGACAAGTTCAGATTGGGACATGGAACTTGTTATGTGTAAAATCTGCAGCAATAATTATTTTCTAAATAATCTAATGTAGAGAGCTGGAATCCTGATTGTAAGAATTTTAGTTTGGGATCACTTTAACAGATGTTAGGTCTTTATGCATAATAACTTTCATAGTATTCATCTAAATTATAAAATCATTATGTATCTAATTTCATTACCAGTTTTTTAAAAAGCATCTGAAAGGTTTCTTGACAATAAAGGAAAAGTCTCTGTTAAAGGTAATTAACAATCTCTCTTTTTTTTTAAGCAAAGTTGTCCTATCCAGAATACTTGACGTTACTGGGGAAAATTAAACAAATTAATTCATTTTTTTTACTCTCTAAGGTGCAGCATTATCTGAAAAGCTGTAGTTTACTGATACTTATTACAGATTGTCTCTAAAGTATGGAATACCTGAGGCTATTTTAGGTACTTACAGCAAGTAATAGCAAAACTATTGTCATCTACAGGTGGCCAGAACTTCCCATATTGTCTTCAGCTGTACTTACTTGTTAAATACTAACGAAGAAGAACAAAGCTGGCAAAAGCAGGCCATGCAGAACCTGGTCTTGTATAATTCAGGGGCCTTTGTTGTTTAAGCTTTTCCTTATTTGATGGTATTTCATTTTCAAAATGAATGCTTGTGTTTCTATATGACCACATATGTGACCACATGTGGCCATTTCTATGGCTACAGATATTTCTGATGTAAAAAATCATCATCTTGTATACGTAGTTGAAATTCCTGTGACCCTCTGAAATGTATTGTGAAGCTGAAAGGGCTGTTACCGCAGGCTTGCTTACATTGATACTTCCTTGGTTGTGTAAGTTGACACTCAGTCATGTTTTGGTAAAAAATATCTCTTTTCACCTCTTGATATGTTAAAAACTTCCTTTTTCTAAAATAAGAAAGCAAGAGTGGGAATGATGAACAAAAAAAACCCAAAACAAACCAGCACAAACCACGTCAGGAAGCATATAGGTGTGTATATATATGAATTTATGTAATTGGTTTCACAGCTGATCTAAATCAGAACATTTTCTGTTTCCTCCCATATTATATTGAATAGTATGAAGACTTTAATTCAATCAGTGATTATTTATGTGTATACTAATGAACACTTCTACAGAAACAAAACCTTAAATGTATTTCTCCTTCTGAGGGAGGATAGAGAAGTCTGTTTGAAATACTGTATAGAAATGTTACCAGTTATTATCAATTATTATTAATTGGCTTTCAGTGTTTTCAGTATGTCCCAGACTGAGTGCATAAAGTGAGGTGAGTGTCTTCTATCCTTTTATATCTTTTATTTTTTACTATATTTTCCTGTAACAGTTTTTGCATGCTAAGGTCATAGTTAATAATGCAGAAAGCTTATTTGAATTTGGAATTTGAGAGAATTTGTTACTCATTTAACAATAACTGTTTACCTTTCTATGTTATCATCAAAACAATGCTTAGCTATGGTATTTTCC